TATACGTAAATAATACGTGCAATTTCGATAATGACGTTCATGTCTATAGTGAAAGATTTAAATAAAGTATAATTGAACGTATGGTATTAGAAGTTAATAAATGCAACACTTACTTAATTTAAAATAATACGTGTACAGAGTATATTAAAAATATATAATATAAACATTTTATGAAAATTACACTCTATACGATACTGCAGGCATGTTTTTTCAAAATCCTTTAGATATAATATTACTAAATCACCAATCTGATGAAGGCATACGTGGTTCTGTATAATATAATTAACAATGCCAGCGCTGGTATTACATAGTTTTATTTATTGTCTGATTTATTATGGGCAAACAGTGTTATATGTATAATTACCACTTATCCACGCTTGTTTATATGACATATTATCAAATATATTGCGGAGGAACAYTGACAGGTCCGTGAGAGAAAACAAACAAGGGGCATAATTTGATTTCAACACTTGGTGTAACTCTTTAMCTATATTCTGTACAGGTAGCTAATCAGTTGTTGGTACGAGTGTAATAACACGTATATTTAGGTATTTACGCCCATGTTGAATTTACRATAAACATTTTCTAATAAACTTCAAATAACATTTTTATTTTATTTACAAAACATTCATGTATTTAATTAATAGCACACAATTTACATTTGTTATAAATTTTATTTTTCCGTGTCTAAATGTCGACAGTGATATTTGGATAAGTGGCAAATGGAAAAACTTCAATTTTCGTTGTTACCTAAAATCAAATAATATAATGTATTTAAACATAATTTATTATTAGTTKTKTACATTTTTTGATATCTTCTGTAAATAATAATGTATTTTACATCCGTGAAATTATTCTCTTTTCCACATAGTCTTACGAACTTCACAAGGTTAGGTTAGGTTAGGTTACCTAATATTAACCTAATATTACTTTATATTTACCTAATATTAACCTTCACAAGTATTAAAATTATGTATGCTAGGGGGGGACTATTCCAGCAACATTTTAATTATCTTTAGGGAAATTAATTATAATGTAACATTTTTTTGTTCAAAYAATATAATTAAATTAAAATTGGAGAGTGTTTTAAATGTCTTTTAGGCATTTAAATTAC